GACCATGAGTAACCAATACTGGGAAAACAGAACTTTGGGTAAAGGAAGAATTGCGACCTACAAAAGTGATATAAAAGACAATTTAAAACCCCAGAAACAGCTGACCAGACAAAGGTTAACTCTTGAATCCCAGGCATCAGCCTGGGAATCCAGCATGGGACTGATCAAGACCTCCTGAATCTGGGTGTCAGTGAGGAGGCCTAGGGAATCTATTGAGCCTTGGGCAGCAGATCAGTACCCATCCCAAGTATACACACGGACTTTGGACTCCCATAGAACAATGTGAGGTGCACTTTTACCCTGAACTCTTGGGGAAGGGTCTAGGCCCTGCCCTATATGAAATGACAGACTATGGACACCCCCATGGAGGGCCTCACCCTCCCTGGGGGAATGAGGGGATAACGGGGGTGGGTGGGATGGGGGAAGGGCACGGGAGGAGGGGAGGGAATGGGAGAGGGACCTGGAACTGACTTGTGAAGCAACCTCGTTTCTTATCTAAATCTAAACTGGAAAATAAAATAAAAAAAAACACGAGGAAAAATTTACTCCCATTTCTTCACCTACCAGAGGCAGTTGCTAGTTATAGTTTGGCTTATGCATTTAAAATCACCTGATTTGCTTTTGTTAATTCACAGCTGTATTCCTATAAATGGAGTTGGACTATTCTATAGACTATACAATAAATAAGTGTATGATCAAACTGGTATATTATTTTCTAAACCATGCTTTAATTGTCTGTACTGCATTCTAAATGATACAGCATAAAATATTTAGGATATTGAATTATCTCTAAAAGTTATGAATAACAGTGTGATCTGTGACCTCACACACTTTTATTTAACATTTTGCGTATATACATTTGAAGTTTCCTTAGATCCCCCTTGATGCTTTTGCGCATTATTTAAGTTGAGTTATTCTTTTCCTTTTTGTAAATTTTTTAGCGCACATTACAGTGCTTACTATCCACACAGAAACTGCATAGCATGATTTTTCTGTTTTTATCATTTGGATCTTATTATGTTTTATGTATGTTAAATCATAAAAGAAGGCACTTGGGGTTGAAAATGTTGTCTAATATATAAACATATTCTGCTGTTAGGGCCAGAGAGATGGCTTTAGTGGTTAAGGGAATTGGCTGCTCTCCCGGAGGACCTTGGTTTGACTCCCAGCACCCACACAGCAGCTCACAACCACGTGTGGCTCCAGTTTCAGGGGATCTGATGCCCTCCTGTGGCTTCCACGGACACTGCACGTGTGCATTGCACAGATGTACATGCATGGACACTACACACAAGCGGCACTCAGATATACATGCAGGCAAATGCACCCCCCTGCCAAAAGTAAAAATTAAGGCTAAAAAATAGAAAAAAAGCAACTATCCTCTGCCAAGATAATCTCCCTAAATATTCTCTCAGTTTCCAAAATAAATATGTATTGGTATTTCTATCGAAAAATCTATACTTTCAGAATATTTTCATGGATGGGAGGGCAAGGGAATGGGAATGGCAGGGCAAGGGAATATGGGGGGATTGATATGTAAAATAAGATTGTTTCTAAAATTTAAAAAATATATGCATATATTTTCACATGTAACAGATCCTATATATCTTGAAATTACCCAATGATACAAAAAGTTTAGAAAACTTTTATTCCCAGAACTAGGGAGATAGTTCATCCAGTAAAATGTTTGCTGCTGGAGTTGCCTGGTTTGGAGGCAGGTGTTTGTATCTCGCCCTGGGCAGGGATACACATTCGAATTCCCCAAGCTCACTGGCCTGACAGCCTTGCCTACTCAGTGATCCTTATGCAGATGAGAGACCCTGACGGAAAAAACCAAGGTGGATGGCACCTAAGGACACCACGGTTGACCTCTAGCCTAGTGTACATACACACATGCATGCCCCAACCCCCAACAAATCATTGCTCTTTTATACGTGCAGAAATAGAGATCCTGAGACTCTGGTTGACTTGTCTACATCCATCCAGTTAGTTAATGACACAGCTAGGAATAGACTTTTAGCACTCTGATAATATTCTGTCTTCAAAATCATCAGCCTTGACTAGATGTTTCCTGTAAAAGGATGATTGAAAGTGTCACCGGCGTGTTAATAACAGTCAGTAGTGTCAAAATATTAACACAGTACTGCTGCTTTCACAACATCAGTGTGTTCTCAGGGATGGCATGCCAGTTAACGCGTCTCTTCTTCAAATGTGAGCTTCAGTTTTCAGAATTTAAAAATATCAAGTAGCTATGAAGATAAATTCTGCATAGTTCAAACAGAAGATCAATATATGCCCATTCCCATTTGTTTTTGGAAAATAGGGTCCTGCTATTGAACTGGTATATGGTTCAAAGGTCAAATGTTTGCTTTAGTCTGAGTGTAGAACATGGGATGAGCCTTGGCTGATGACCCTGTCTAGACTAAGACATCCTGCTTAGGGACTGAGACTCCCACCCCTGGCTGCTATGCTGCCCACTCTTCAGACTTGGAATGAGGGAAAGGGCTTGCAGGAAGGAACACATCCCAGGAGTGCTGGAAGTTTGTCTTGAATGACCTGTAGTGAGCTCTGAAATGATGACATTGTTCTAATACTTCTCCCAGTTTTCCTCTCTTTATAATAGAATTCTATGCAAGCCTATGCCCCCAAAGCTACACTACTAAACACATACACATGTGAATAATGATTTTACTTTGGGAGATTAGAATCTTGCTTGCTGCCATTTCAGTTGCTCTATTATGAAAAAAAAACAAGACAAAACAGATTCTAAATTCTATTAAGTTGAATTTTTGGATGTCACAAAACCTATTAATATAGAGATAAATTTAAGAGCTTTACATTCTGCTGAATCTTGGTTGTAATGTTAAGGTTGGTTTTAATACATAAATTAAATAAAAGGTTCCATAATGCTTTGGACCTTCAATGTGACCCAGAACCCAAGAAACTTCTGAGTAGATCTTTCTCAAACATAACAGTTGTGAGAAACATGCTTTTTAAAAAAAAGTCTATAAAAGCTGAAATGTAGTTTTCATGTATTTATATCATTTTGTTGGCTTCTATATTCTGCTCATCATTCTGAATCCACTGTCTTCAATGGGTGGGATACAAATAAAATTTAGTTAATAAATACCAACATTAACCATTAATCAATATTTCTGATTAAGTAAATCAAAATATAAATGCCCTATAAAAGTTCATTTCACCTTCCGTGGTGATGGAGAACATCATAATTTAGAGGCAAAAAGGACATTTGCTCTAAAACAAACTAATGGGTACACGTTAATCTACTTTCTCTTTTTCTCTGGTTAGCATAGCCACATAAGTAAACAGATGAATTTTGAGTCTATAAATACTCTTACTATTGTATATATGTTTTACTGTGTAATATGATTTTTTTAAAAAGACCCCAGATAAAAGAAGACATTGAGAGGTTAAGATAGAAATATTAATGCTAATAGCTTGGATTTTATTTCTATATGTATTTTGATGCCAGCATCTTCTCTTTAATTTGTTATTAATCAGTGGAACTTTAGATGCTAAATTAGCTCTTCTTACAAGTATCCCAACCTCCTGAACAGCAGGTCCACAATAGTGTGTAATTTTGTGAAAATAGTCTTCTCTGGCAATTTGCAATCCTTTATTACATTTTTTCTGAAGCAAATAAAAAGGTTTAGAATCATAGCCTTTTGTGAACATGCATATATATGTGTATGCAGTAGACATAGATAGACTAATAGATATGGATAGATAGGTAGATTAGTAGATAGATGGTAGATAGATCACAATCCAGAATAGTGTGTAGTTCAAAAGATAGAATATCTCATACAAATCTCATCTTCTCTATTCAGTGAGTAAGATACACAGTTATCAGTCAACAGATATTTACAGGGTGAGTTAAATAAATGAATGGTAAGAGAGATCTTTCTGAATCTATACATGTTAAGTTAAACCCATGTGTTTCCTTTTTCTAAGAAATTGACCATATGTCCTGGACTTAGCTAACGAAACTTGCGCAGTGTCATCCTCAATAGTCTGTTCTTGAGTTGTGTTATTTCCAGTGCTTCTGAATGTTTGCTAACCAGGGTAGTATTTCGCTGAGAGAACCCCTTGATTTTTGCTAATTTTGGTGACACTTTAAAGTTGTCATCTCTCACACACGTGCACCTGTGTGAAGACCCTGTGGCTCCTCCATCTTAGGTACTCCAGACTGACAGGCAGAAATACAGTCGCATGCTCCGCCCCAGTCTTTGCTGAGTCCTTCTCTTTGTTGTATTTTTAAACTGCCTTTTCCAAATGCAATGATTCCATCTGAAGGAACATTAAAGTTTTGCCTTCCTGCTTTTGAAATGGATCTTCATTCTTTACAATAACAACACCACAAGAGGAAAAAAGGACAGGAAATTAGTTACATGGTTATTATTCAAACTCAAATGCAGTTCATGCCATCTTCTGGGTGAAGCTGTAATAATCTTGATTTGTGTCAAGAGTTACTCATCTCAGTGTTTAAATTTTAAGAGCTGTGAGTTAATCGGCAGTTAAAAGCACTTGCTGCTCATTCAAAGGACTGGGCACGGGGGTGTTCAATTCCAAGCACCCATATGTGGGTCACAACCTTCTGGTTTCCAGAAAAATTAGAAAAGAAAAACAGTTATGTAAACATTTTAATTATATATATATGATACTATTCCATATCAGGTATCACTGAATGGATTTATACCTAAACTTAATGTTTCTTAGTGCTGTATTTGTCAAATACATAGCCAAGCACATGTATTTTACATGATGCATTCATTCCTCAGCTTCACAGATTTGGTTTATGTGTGTGTCTTATTGCTCAGGTTGACTTCTTCAATCCCCTCTGTGCAATTACAGACTTTGGCAGCAAGGAATGAAGTTGGTTTGGGAATTAGATAAAATATGAAAATAGACTTAAATGTCCTATGCTTTTTATCACCAAAGTGATCATTTTCACATTCCTTCCCTAAATCTATGTCTTAAAGATGCTGATCATCTGTGAAACAGAAAGAGTCCCAAGACTCAAATTGGAGATACCAACCACCCACTGGTTATACCCTGCAGCACAGGTAGAGAGCTTAGAGATCGACAGTTAAAGAGATGGATGTTTTTATCTCAGATTTTCTCAGAACCCATTAATCTGAATGTACAAACACGTCTCATTAGCTGTAATGGCCATATTGCCTTGGCTCATTGCCTTCACCTACTCTAGATGACCTTTGATTTCTGTGCACTACCCCTCATGTGTGTCTGGGAGTCCATATGGGTTTTTTCAGATGCATTTAGGATGGTGTCTGACACCAGTGGGCTCAATGCCACAGCCACTCCCCAAGGTGTTCCCATTGTTCCACTCTGTACAGACACCCCAATCACAGGGCACTGGGGACATACTCTGCCATCACCTGAGTCTCTCCTATTGCTGTTCAAAGTGGGTATCAGCATCTTCTCATAAGGCTAAGAATTGATGATTTGTATTAAAATGCATCATTTTGTAGTGGGAATTCTTTGTTCTCTTTGCTAAATTATTTTTTGTGCATCCTTCATTAGGAAGCATCTTGAAGAGATGAGGAAGGAGAAAGCTGCAGATCATATGGGCAGTAAATGAGAGGAACTTACAGACCTCAGACTGACAGTGGCTCTGGTCCTCCATTGGAAGGAAGGATCCTAACTCAAGAGCAGTTGTGTTCCCATCTTGGTATGACCCTTGAGACTAGAATGGTCATGCCCCAACTGCTCTAAGATGATGCCGGGTATATGAGCATTGTTGAACATTCCTCTTGGTCTTCCCTGACGTTTTATGCATAATCTCTTTCATATTTCTCTTTAATACAACTTTGCTTGCATCTACCATCTGTTCCTTTGTCTGGATCCCAAATGATCTCATCATATGTTTAAAATTCTAAGAATTTATGTTGAAGAACTAATGAAGGATGTTCCTAATAGAACACTGAATCTAGATTAAGTGCCCCAGAGTAAAGGATGGCACTGTCAGAACAGGAAAGAGTAATTCATTCACATTGGGAGAATTTGGAAAGGCTTTCCACAGGAGGAGGCATTTGGTATGCCTCTGAAGGGTGGCAGAAGGCTTTGCCAAAAAAACAAATGTGTCTCTTGCCACCTAGAAGAGACTTCATGGCTTGTAAGGGCAAAGGCTCATTACTTTCTTGTGTCATGATATTGCCAACTATGAGGCTAGGTTGCTGTAAGTCTTAAATTAATGTGGCAGGGTTGGTAATGAATCTCTATTGAAAAGCATTCCCAGGTTAAATTTGAGTTTGGTAAAGCAGACAGAGTACATAACAGTGCCTGGCAAATAGTAGGTGGTAGCCCATGTTATCCCGCTATTAAGAAAAATGCATAGTATTTTCACCTCTCTCACCTGCATTGGGAACACTGGCTTACACATGTCTTCTTCCCCCTCACAGATAGCCAGTTACTGCCTTTTTCCTCATGTCTCATAATTAACATCAGTTGCTCAACAGTATATTTAGGATCTGGACAAGTAGCTCACTGGATTAGAATGCATGCTGTTCTGAAGAACACAAGTTCAGTTCCCAGCTCTCCTCTAACTCCAGGTACCCTTCTCCGGCCTCCACAGGAACTGAATTTATTTGGCACACCACTCACACAGACCTGCACAAAGATACCCACAAACTTGTGCATATATTTTATGAAAGAAAATCCTTTAAAAATCTCTTGAGTATGCATGACCTTGCAAAATATTAATGACTCAACTGTATTTTAAAATTAGTAAGTCCACCTCAATCTGAAAGGACCTTCAGCCTTGAACGATTCAGCCATATTATATTATATAATTAAATATGTTCAGAGGGGGATCCCGGGGTACTGTCTCTTTTTTCTCCTCTAGTCTGAGAGGTTAAAGCATCATTTAAAATAAAAAAGCTGCTCTCAACTTATCCATAATTGTCCTGGGGCATGAGTAAGAGGTTTGAGGGGGAAGCTATGAGTGGGCTACTCTAGGCTTATATTGTGCTGGGATTAAAGGTGTGTGCCACCAATGCCTGGCCTTAGGCTTATATTGTGAAAGAACCCAGACAAACAATCTTGGTTCAGAATACTGTGATTCATTACACAGAGTTTCAGGAAGCCAGATTGGAAGACAGCTGGCTAAGGTTGTTGTCATCCTGGAGAGTGTTTCATGGCAGACGTCTGTTGAAACCAGCCAAAGATGAAGAAAAGAGGAAAACAAGGCTGTGCTGTCCCTTCATTTCCTAAGTGACAATAATGAGAAGTCATCCTCCCATCCGAACTACTGGATGATGACACCTACTCAGCAGGGTGTGCCCAGCATGTGTCACTCACCATGATCACACACAAAAACAAAGGTCCTCATCCTAGTTTCTTCATGTCCTTACTTTCTCTCTTTGTTCTTAAAGGGTGTGGGGTGCCTGGGTGAGGACCAGAACAAAGGACCTTGCAAGAGACAGGTATAAAATGACAGCCCGGAAGAGTGTCAACTCTCTGTGGTGTTGAGGACAGTCAAGGGAGGTGCTCCATGGAGAAATGTTAAGCCAGATGGTATAAAAGGGATGCAGGTCTCTCTGAGGAGGAGGAAAACACTGTAAACAAACAAGATTCCTCCTGAAATGTGCTGTGGACAGTCATGTATCCTAGTCCTTGTTAGGATGGTGATTCCAGCCTCACCCTTTATCTGGAAAGCACAGCCTGGACTGTTTGATGGTTAATCATCCATGTGAGTTATAGGCAAGCAAGTTGAGAGCTCAGGCTTCTCTGAGGAGTGAAAATGCAAGGAAGACTTTTCAAGCTAAGTACATGCAACCTCTGACTTTTATTCTTTATAAGAAAAACCAATTTGTCTCTTTACTCGAAAGTCTGGGCAAACATTTGTGGGGTCAGAGGTAGTTTCACGATGCAGAGTAAAGCATGGCATTGTGTGTGCTGTGAGCTAGGTCTTTTCTTTACAGGTATCTATGGGGCACATGCAACCTATTCTGTTTACAGTGTATCGCATCCTCATTGAACCATCCTCAACTCACGGTCCAAGTGACAAAAGAAAATGTGGTCAGAGGCTGCATGGGGTGTTGTCCTGAGCACCCATGCAATTATTCATGGCAAGTGCACACAGAAAGAAGAAAAGAAAACCAGGGAAAATCTGGTATCTTATGCTATATAGAAAATACTGGGTTGTTACTAGGTACAGAGCAGATTATATGTCATCAAAGAGAAGCAGGAAGTGCATTTTAATTTTCTAATTTTCTGCCTATTGGTTCATTTTGTAAATTGCAATCAATGACTATCTGTGAGCAACAGCAGAAGATCAATTGTAAAAGAGCTTATAATTCATGGCCGATATTGTAAATTATAGTTGATGTGACAATGATGGGGAAGGTTTCTATGCAATGGGATCCTCAGCTTGTGACAGTCAGACCAGGGTCTATGATCCACTTGTAATACATATTAGAGTGATCTGCTTCCTCCTCATCTAAAATTCCTGGTGTTTGGGTCTGTGGGAATGAAGTCGCCATGCTAATGGAAAGCAAGATATCTTGACAAGGGGCTTGAGGGATGTTGATCTTCTAGTTCCAGGGTTCATGTATCCTCAATTTACTGGGCTCAGCTTTGGGCTTAAGAGCCTGTGGCTGTTAGATCCCCGAGCCACCCCAGTGCCCTGGAAGGGCTTCTTCACAGCCACAGACGTGTTACCAAACCACTTGCAGTTAAATCAGGGGACAGTTGTCATGCTGTTCTCGGCTCTAAAGGTCTAGCCTGGTGACTTCGTTCTTGACTGGTTCCCAGCAACCCACTTTCTCATGGAGCATTTGTTCACTGGCATCCCCTCCCCAGTGCCTTTGTGAATGTCACTATCTCCTCCCGAATCACTGCAGTTTCCCCAGTGTCTTTGTGAATGTCACTATCTCCTCCCGAATCACTGCAGTTTCCCCAGTGTCTTTGTGAATGTCACTATCTCCTCCCGAATCACTGCAGTTTCCCCAGTGTCTTTGTGAATGTCACTATCTCCTCCCGAATCACTGCAATTTCCCCAACTTTGTGAATGTCACTATCTCCTCCCGAATCACTGCAGTTTCCCCAACTTTGTGAATGTCACTATCTCCTCCCGAATCACTGCAGTTTCCCCAACTTTGTGAATGTCACTATCTCCTCCCGAATCACTGCAGTTTCCCCAACTTTGTGAATGTCACTATCTCTTCCCGAATCACTGCAATTTCCCCAACTTTGTGAATGTCACTATCTCCTCCCGAATCACTGCAGTTTCCCCAACTTTGTGAATGTCACTATCTCCTCCCGAATCACTGCAGTTTCCCCAGTGTCTTTGTGAATGTCACTATCTCCTCCCGAATCACTGCAGTTTCCCCAACTTTGTGAATGTCACTATCTCCTCCCGAATCACTGCAGTTTCCCCAATGGAGCCACATGTGCAACTTCTCCTAGCAATCCATCAGATTCCATCTTCTTCTTCTTCTTCTTTTCCTTTTGGTTTTTACGAGACAGGGTTTCTCTGTATTGTTTGGAGGCTGTCGGTCCAGCCCGGCCTCGAGCTCACAGAGATCCACCTGCCTCTGCCTCCCGAGTACTGGGATTAAAGGCGTGTGCCACCACTACCTGGCTCAGATTCCATCTTCTACCCTCACCCTCCCTCCAGCAATTCCTCTTTCCCTGCCCCTCTTCAGCTCCCTTCTCTTCCTCCTTCCTCCTCCTCTCCATCGTCTTCCTCCTCTTCTTTCATGCCTCATTATTCAAAGAGCCCTGGGGAATCTCCATTTTCTGATGAAAGCCCACTAGGAATAATCCGCTTCTAAGTGGACCAGACACGCATCAGAAAGATTGATGTCAAAAAGATGTTTGCATGCATTAGCTCTCTCTGTGTACCTGAGCTTGCAGTTGTCGGAATTAAGAACATCCCCAATTCCTGTCCACCAACACCAGACCAGTCAGATTCAGATTCCTGACTGAGAAATGTGACCTGGGAAGTTATTCTTTTCTAGTAATTAAATTAGCCGAAAATAAAATTGGAGGAAACCGATTTGGTGTAGGCTATGATATCTTAGCTATATGACCCTGCAGGCTTGGTGCCAGCTAAGCACGTAGCTTTCATGGATAGCAGTCTTGGGTGCAAGTGCACTTACACTCAGACCCCACTTTCTATGCATGCATGTGATTCTCTCTGCAACCCAACTTCATATCTGACTCCACTCTCAAATAACTTAATTAGAATTCAATGACCCTCCCCCTCCCTTTGCTTTGGGATCCCCTCTCCTGCTGTAAAGAGGCATTCATGTCCATGCATACCTCCTCAGAACTTGGAACTTGACAATCCAGGGTACCTCTTCCTCCATGGGAAAGTACGAACAGAGAGACACCCCCTTAGGCCCACTGTGGATGTGTGTTCGCCCCCATGGCTTCTGCATCGTTCTTGGGAACATGAAATGACTGTAGGTTCCATGAAGCTCTGTCCACAGACACCATGACCTTTGAGACACTGCCTTTCTGACAGTGTGTGTTTTTTCCTCCCCTCCATCTTATTTCCAAAGGCGAGGGAATGTGGAGCCTTGAAGTGGAATGCTTGAAGAACATTCCCTGTTACTCCAAAATGTTTTATCTAAATATTGGGACCCCTCTCTATATTCCCTTTGTCATTATACTGAACTTCCCTTGTTCCTTCTGTATCTGACCAGTAACTCTCTACTTTGTGAATGACAGCACTTTCTAGTTAGGATATGAAATTACAACTTAACTGAGAGGAATTTAGAATCAAATGAGTATGATAGATGGGATCAGAAGGAAGTAAGGAAGACAAAAACTCATGGATAAACATGACTGTCACACTAATATCAGTGCTCACAGCA